CTGTGCCTTGCGCTGTGCCTACTGCGGGTGGGGGGCAGGCATTGCCGAGCTAGGAGATGGACCATACCAGGCCCAAGGCCACCTGCCCATGAGCAATGGGTAGCAGAATGGAAACCTTTGTCCTTCAATGTCCTACCCTCCCAGCCACCAGGTGGGGCCACAGGGATGTTTCAGACTCTCCTTTCCTTCCAGCATCTAATTTCACATCCAGCCCTCCCTGGACAGCCCTTCCACCCTGCTCCCTGCAAAATAACCCCAAGACCAGCACCCTTGTGTCTCTTGCTCCTTGACACATGCAGGTCCCGATGCACCTAGGACCGCTGGGAAGCACACCCCCCCCCCACCCTCCCACTTGCCGCCTTTGGAAAAGCTCCCAAGGCTCAGAGCCCCTGCCCTGGTGCCACCCCGGGGGCCCAAGCTGGCTCCCAGCCTCCAGCCCCCTCCATTAGCCTGAAGAGCTATTGATCAGTTTGGCTTCTGTGAGCTGAGTGTTTTAATCCCAGTGTGTGAATCTTTAAGAATTAATTAGCAAAGATTGCTCAGGAAAACAAAGTGGGCACAAGCTTGGCTACCGTCTGGTCACCTCCTCCTCTCCCTTCCCCCATCATTATTGCTCTCCTCTTAATTATGCTTCTATTTCTGGAAGCCAGAGGCCGTCACCCAGGGGGACCCCCACAAGCTCCACCAGCCTCTCCTTGGCCTTCTGTGGCCTCCTGCTTTCCAGTTCCTGTCCGGGGTGGCCATGACCTAGCTGTGTGTCAGTGCCCCTCACTGCCTCTTCAGAGCCCTGAAGGCCTCCGATTGTGCCCAAGGTGACCTGGGAGTGAAGGGAGTGCAGTGGCACCCGTAAGCAGATAGATTGAGAATCAAAGCAGATCCTTCCAACCCCGAGGAACTGTGGGCCGGCCAGGCTTGGCTGCCATGCCAAGGGCGGGTCTTGGGACTCTCTGCTTGGCTGGCCTGGCCTGTTTGCCTGTCACCATGCTGGATGCGTCTTGCACTGTTCCCTGGGTGCCCCCGACCCTGATGAGCCTTGGTTTCCTCATTCCCCACCCCTCGCCTCAACAGGCCTCCTGGCTTTTTGCGTGTGCCTTTTCCTGTCTACCGCATCGCTGCCTCCCTCCCCTCTGCCCCCTATCCATGGGCTCCCTCTGGTTCCTTTGCTTGCAATTTAATTCTGATTCCCTGTCCCGCAAAAGAAGCTTTGCGCTGGAAAGAAGACCTCACGCTCCCATTACCCAGCTTTAGCCCTCCTGGTCAGCGGGGTCTGTGGACTTTCCTTGCCAGTAGGGGGCGTGCTGTGGATGACATCCTTCACTCAAGTGTTCATTTTTTTTTTTTTTCTCCACACTCCCTCTCCCAAGAAGGAGCAATGAGTTCCCAAGGTCTGGAAGTCCACAGCTGGGGTGGATTTGCTTCAGTTCAGCTCCTTGCAGCCCCAGGGAGGGCTGGCAGCTCAGCACCCAGAGAGCGGTCCTGCTTTTGAGCTCTGCACAGGCTCTGCCAGCACCCATAGCAGCCCCAGTTGGGAACGAACACCCTTGGTTTCCACCCTGACCTTGAGGGCGGCTGACACTGCGAGAGGCTCAGGATAATCTGCCAGAAGCCAGGAGCTCCAGGGAGTCCCCGCTATGCCTCAGGGTCTTGCACTCCCTTATTCAGATTGAGTTAACAGAGTGTCCCATTTTCTTTCTTGGCCTTTCACAGGCCGGGGGGCTGCATTGGGACTGCATGCTGTGGGCCTGCTGGGGAAGGCAGAGAGAGGCCAGCCAGGTCTCGCTGTGCAGCGCTATCCCTGGGTTTGTTCCTCTGTGGCTCAGCTTGACTTGGCTCCTGAGCTTCCTATGACTCAGTGCTATGAACTTGATCTTGCCGCTCCCCGCCTCCTGTTTGCACGAGGAGCTCTCACAGGCAATGACTCTGCCTATTCCGGATGCTCTTCTTCCACCTTTCCCCTGCATCTCCAAGCCCCGAGGCGTCTCCTGGGTCATCCTGAACAACTGATGTCTCCCAAGGAGGACCACATGGCTAGGGTGATCCTGGTCTGGCAGAGGGCAGGAGGGACTCCCAGGGGAGATGACTTTTGTGCTGAGTCTGGAAGGATGAGGAAGTACTTGCCATAGGATCTGCATGGACAAGAACAGCATGTGCAAAGGCCCAGGGGAACACAGCATTGCTTGATTTGTAGATCCCAGTCTGGGGTATTCGAGGCTGTGCTGCATAGCTCCTCATTTGCAGCCTGACTCCTGGGCACCTGTTCCTGCCTCACCCACCTGATGCCAGCACCTGTCACCTGAGCCACTGGGATTTCCCCGAGGGCTGACGACAGCTGCTTAGCTCAGGCAAGAGGGAGAGAATGAAGCCGCTTTCTCACCAGGAGCAAGAGAGAGGGTGCTGCAGGCACCGCTGGATTCAGGAGCCCAAAGCCCACCTTTATAAGTCTTGGTTGCAACAAGTCCCCTCAGACTCTCAGCCGTCCCTCAAGTCCCAGGACTGAGTCTTAATGGCCAGAATTGAAGCACTCACTCCCTCCTCCCAAACCCCATCTCTCCAAGCCTCTCCACCAATCACTGCGGACAGGAAGAAGAAATATGTTAATGGAACAATGAGGTTCCCACTGGCATCCTGGTGTCAGTCCGTGGAGGCACACAGAGGTACTTCTCCAGGAAGAGGAAAAGCAAGCCATGGCAGGGCTGTCCCCCATGCCACAGATACCTGTTCAGATGCCCTCCTGCTGGCTGAGCCCCGGGGTCTGCAGGTCAGTGGGCAGCCCCAGGCCCCGCGCTACGCTGCTTCTGAGGTCCCTGCTTTGAGTCTTGCCTCTCGTCACCTCCTGTGGGTTTCCATGTGGAGGACGACGCAGGTTCGAGGTTCCCTGGGGTGTCCCCTGGGACTTGGTTCACTAATGCTCACGACCCAAGATGGGAACGGCTGGCAAAGCCCCTTCCTCCAGCCAACAGCACTGGAGTCTGCGAGACTCGAGCTCAGAGCCACTCTGCAGCGTTGCCGAGTTCTGCGCTGAATGCGGCCAGGCCTCCTGCCATTGATAAGCACTTATGGTGGCCTCGGGCCTATTTTTAGCTTGGATACTTATAGAACAACATCTGAGCACATGCACGCCTACTGGGCCACAACTGGGAGCCACACGTCCTGATTCTGCCCAAATAAGGATGGGTGGCCAAGAGTGCCAGCCCCCTACCCCCACCCACAAGGGCTGAGCCAACAGGTGGACTTCATAGGGAGCTCGGTAGGCTCTCTGTCGGTTGCATTCCAACAGACACAGAGGAGTGAGGCTGTGCTGAAAGTGTTGAAAGCTCAGCTCGCTTCAAATCCCCTGGGTTCATAAGAAACAGTGTTGCCACCTTCCTTGGCTTCCAACAGGCCACTCCTTCTTGCAGGAGGTTCTTTCCCTGGCAGCACCAGGTCCAAACAGGGCCTGGAGAGAAAGCACCAATTATGAGTGCCCTATTGCCTGTCGCCAGCTTCTGTGGTCGGGGCTCGATCTGGCCGAGTGGAGGCCGTGGAGGCCGTGGAAACCTCTGGAACATCCACAGCCCCAGCGAGAGGTAGGCCCCTTGCTCTCGGCCCTGGCCAGCAGTGAAGGTTCTCTCTAGCTCCTGAGTCAGCTTGGAGAGTCCCCAGGACTAGGCTAAGCCCCAGGCCGATGATGGCCTCGGCGAGGCTGTGGGTCCCTGCGCAGCCACTTCACACTCATCCCAAGTGTGTGTTCCTTTTTGCACGAGAGAATCTCAGCCCACAAAGCCCAGTGAGGTGGTGGCTGCTGTTGCCTCATCCAGCACAAGGGTCTCATGCCCATCAGAATACAGGGTGAGTGACGTGGGCACGCTGGATTCCTCTGGCCATGCTGAAACCCGCAGTCCTTCGGCCATGCTGAGACCTGCTAGGGCCAACCATCGGCTCCGACTTTGCAGAGCATCCCTGCCCCCCAGGGAATGTCTACAGCCCACCAGGGACTCGTGGACCCCCATGAGGAGGTGGAGGCAGGGTGAACAGAGTCGCTCTGCTGGGGATGGGTTCTCAGCCAGGGGCGCCTGAGCTGTGGTCATGGCCATGATCCTGACCAGAGCTCAGACCTTGGAGCACTGTGGACTTCCCTCCCCGAGGAGGGGAAAGGCTGCCCCCGAGTGGCCATCAGCCGGATTGCAGGGAAATTGCCTGCTGCCCTGCCTGCTTGGTGGTGGGCTCAGGTTTGTCTCCTGGACAACAGATCTCATAACAGTGCTAAATACAGGGTGGGTCCCAGAGCAGGCAGGGCCTCAGAGGGACACAGCCTGGAGGGGCCACCTCCCAGGAGCCCACAGCCCCTGCCATGGACTGTGGCAACAGGGAGGGGCAGGCTGAGCTGAGAGCCTGGGAGAGCATTCGTGGAGGGCTAGATTGATGGGGAAGGACAGCAGGGGGTGAGGTGGGCCAGAATCAGGGGTCTCTTGCTGGGGCGGGGGGAGGAAGGGAGCCTTCCTCCTCTTTCTTTCTCCTCCCTTATACCAGTTGTTTGCGTGTGGGTCTCTCTCTCTCTCTCCCTCTCCCTCCTTCCTCTCTTCCGGTTTCATCTCGGTGAACTCCACGTGCAGAGCCCTGGTCAGTGAGGGGCCGGAGCCCTGATGGGAACCAAGCAAGATGCCCGCATATGAATGGGGCAGCTGACTCTGGGGGTGAGGTCTGGCCCAACTGATACATGTGCTGTCCTAGTCCTGGTCCCTGGTCCTCGCCACCCCAACCCCCGTCTCCACCTGATGATGCAGAGAGCTGCAGAAAGGGTTTAGGGCAAGGCGAGAATGTAGCACATGACTCAGTCCTGGGGGTCAGCCCCAGCTGGAATCTGGCTCTTGTCCGTGCCCATCCCCACCTCCGGATCCTTTCCCCCTGCCTGCAGTAGCCTAACTGATGCCAAGAAATCATAAAAGATCAAATGAGGAAGCTCCCAGACTGGGCCCGGCATGTACGCATCTTACCAGATCCTGGGCATCGTGTCTTTGTAGATGTCGGAAGTGCTCAAGTGCTGGCAGCAGGCAAGTCCGCGGGAACTGAAATTGGTAGGTGACTGCACAGGCAGGTGTATGTGGTTGGAGGGGGAGGGGGAGAGTGTGGCGGGGAGGTAGGGTTTGATGCAGGTACCCTGAGGGCCATACTCACCTCCAGCCCTGCCTGAGTGGCTCCCAACTGTATCCTGAAAACAGGGTGTTCTCAACGGGAACATGAGGCACCAGAGCCATCCTTTCCTGGTCTCTGGGCCCAGCTGGACAGCTCCAGCACCCATGGGACCTATACTGCAGCTGGGAGGCCCTGCTTAGCAGGCACTGCAGTGCTCCCATGCCTCTTGTCTATGCCTCCAGCCTCCTGCAGTACCAGTTCCTCCTCATCTGGGGCTTATCTCACCAGTGGGTAAAGCTGCCACCTGTAATGCTGCCATCCCATAGGGGTGCCAGTTCGAGTCTCAGCTGCTCCACTTCTGAGCCAGCTGCCTCCTAACGCACCTGGGGAGGCAGCAGGAGATGGTCTAAGTGTATTGGTTATTACAGCTCCTGTTCCCTCCTCCGAGAAGGTCCCGTTCCCCCAGGACTCCCACATCAACCCAGTCCTGAATTCCTGGGGGGTGTCAGGGTGTGCTCTTTGTCCATTTTTTTTTTTTCCCATATGGCTGCAGACCAGCTCCTCCAAGATGAGACAGAGACTTCTGTCTTTGCCTTGGGACTCACCAATAAGCAGGCCATGGACAAATGCACGATAAACAGCTTACTAAAGGGATGCTGGAGAAGTGGGTCACTCATCATCTAGGCCTGGAGAGGTCGGATCCTTTCTGGGTAGAGTTCCCATGCCTCAGGGCACCAAGTTTGGCATTCTAGAAGGACAAGGACAGGGTGCGGACAAAGGGCTGGGAGCACACAGAGTTCCCAGGAGAGTCGCCCTCGGCAGGTGGCAGTGGAGGACATAAGACCCCCATGTGTGACTTGGGTTGCATAAAAGGAGCTGTAGGAGACTTGCACGGGGAAGGGGTGGGGCCTTGTTGAAGTCAGGTGTTCAACTCCATTTCCTATTACAGACTTCAAGTACGCCATCATTGGGACCGCCGTGGGTGTGGCCATCTCAGCTGCCTTCCTGGCCCTGAAGATCTGTGTCATCAGGAAGCAACTGTTGGAGAGTGACTCCTCGGATGCCAGAAGTGCACCCGTGGGCAGCAGTGGTATGGGCCTCCAAGGGCCACCGACTGGGGATGAGTGGAGCCTAGTTGTGTGCTGGGTAGCCCCACTGGGCAAACCTCACAGCACTGGCTGCAGAGAGAGCGAACTCACAAGTTCAAGGCCAGTGAGCTGGAGTCTGAGAAGCAACGCAAGGGCCCCGATGCATGTGGAGGCTCCACTACGCACGGGAATTCCTCCCTTCACACTTGGCATAGGCACAAATACAGGTCTCTGAGCGCATGACTGCTAGACCCTGCTGTCTCGAGGGCATCAGGAAGTGGGGGTACAGCTGGAGGATGCCAGAGGTCACTAGCGAGCACCCAGCCCTGCTCATGTTTGGGGTTAATAAGTAGGCTCAGGGGTGAGACCTGGAAGCTCCAAAGGAAGGGGGCAGAGCAATGCCCGAGGTGGGTGGCTCTAGCCCTCTCCCACTTGTCTTGCCAGGGCAAGGGGTGGGCACCAGCATGATCACATGCCACATGCCCTCCTTCCTAACACCCTGCTCTTTCTGTTCAGACCCGGCCGCATGGAAGAAGAGGAGATCCACGAGGTAAGGTTGCTGCAGCCTGGTTTGTAAAAGGGGGTGCGTCTTCCCTCTGTCTTTGCCATTGACTCTGTTGTCTGTCCTCTGGGGCCTTCCCCTTTCCAGGGGATTTGAACACACCTCTCGGCCCTGCCCTCCCTCTTCCCCCTTCCTCGTGCTGTCAGCAGGTGTCACAAGAGTGAGAGTTGTAGGTTACGGTCATCAAGGGTTGGAGCCTGCCTCTGCGGACCCTGGGTTGGATCCTCTCCCATCTTGAGCCTTTCGGTGCAGGACCCAAAGCTCCGGCCACAACCCATTTGTGAGGCTGCACCCGGTCTGCCCCAGGCTATTCTGCATGGGCAGCCTGCCACCAACTTGCTGCACCTGCTGTTTTCAAGCCTGTGGAATGCTCTTTGCCCAGTTGGCTGCAAGCCTTGCACCTCGTTTCCTTCACATCACAGTTTCCAAGCCGCCATTTCATGTCCCTTGGCCTGTCCCACCCGCCCCCCACCAGCCATCATGCTCATCTCCTTACCAGCATTTGTTTTCTTCCTAGTCCATTTTGCTCTTTGGCGTTAGTAACTGATGCATCAACTTCATTTCTGAGTGCTCCCCACGACCCCTGCCACCCTTAACAATCTTAACTCCTTGGGGGCTGAATCTTTCTTCTTGTCTCAGTTAGCCAGGGTCAGGGCAGCTACTCATGATGGGGAGAGGGGAGTCAATGAATGAGTGGGTGTGAGGATGTGGGCGAGGAGCCGAAGAGCAAGGACAGGTTCTCTCGGCCTACAGGCGGGTCACAGGCAGCGGCTGCATGCAGAGGCCATGTCCCAGGAGGGCTGTGGCAGGAACTTGTGCCTTGCGGGTGCAGAGAGGAGCTTCGCCAGCTGGGAAACTGGAGGTGTCTGAGTGTGGGTGAGCCTGGGTCTGGGATGTGTGTGCAAGCTGGTGCAAACACTGACACAGGCGGAGGGAGCCCTGGAGCCTGTAGGAAAGCATGGGAAATTGCAGAACCATTCATCGAACAGGTAGGCTATGTGGCAGGTGCAAATGCTTTATGTGAGTGTGTGGAGAGCAGAGTGGGGGCAGACTCGGTTCTATTGGGTAGTTTCCAAGAATCCAAATAATCCTCTCCTGAAACATCTGATCAACCATGGACAAAGTCCAGGCAGGGATGATGGAGGGACCTCTTTTTTTTTTTTTTCCATTGTAGGCATAGGCAGAAAAGAGCCCAGGTATGGAGGGAGACAGGGACACAAACTGAGACCTGCTGGAAGGCTCTGCTGAGTCAGAGATGGCCAAATATGGATGCTCCTGGACTGTTTGGAAACCTCAAGGCTTTAAGGGGCCATGTGCATTATACAGGTCACGTGGCTGGGTTGGCTCTTCCACTTTGAAGAGTTTCGAGCAGGGATGGGAAGAGCTGCAGAAGACAGGCAGCTGAAGAGAGGAAGGGAAAAGATGTGAAGGATGGGGGAGAGAGGTGAGTGCCAGGGCTGGATGGGAAAAGGCACCCACCCAAGGTGCCAACAGCTGCTCTCAGGAGATGTCCTGCCAGAGACCCTGTACAAATAGGGGACCCTTATGAGAAGTTCAAGTTTCCAAAACTAGCACCAGATGAAGTGGAGAGGAAGTCAGGCTAAGTGTGAGCCGCCACTCTCCCGGAGTGTGCTCAGCGTGTGCTGGTCGTCCCCTCCGAGATGGGCTCCATGAGCGCCCTGCTGTCCCACGGGCTGAACCTTAGCTGTTCCAGGAGTGAGGGGGGTGCGTGGGCTCACTTGTAGCAAAAGGAGGGGAGGCAGTGGCTGCCCTGCATAGCCAGGGTTCTTTGACATGCTCCCCTCCTCACCCTGGCAGTGCGGGACAGCAGGGATTGCTAAACCTTGGCTAACCAGAACCTGTGCCAGGGCCACTAAGAGAACTGTGGCTGGATTTACAGGGATTATGGGGGGCGGGGGAAACAGGGTTTTAACCGAAGGAGAGTTCAATTTGTTTGTTTGTTTACTCAGATTTTTTTTCCAATGGCTGATCTGACCCTTAGGCATTGTGATCCATTTGATTAAAAAAAATTAAAAAAAAAAAAGAAGAAATAGAAGAAGCCCAGCATTTCTGTATGTCTTCAGACTAGCTGCTTGTCAACGGCTTTGGTGGCTCAGAGTGGGCAAAGCTGGTCTGCACAGCTGGGGCTGTTGAGGCAGATGGCGTCTTGGACCCCACAGCTGGATCAACTGCATTCCTAGGAAAGACGGTTGGTGGCAATCACAGCACCACCGTCCACACTCCGTAGCTCTTGAGTCCCTTAGCCCACCCTGGATCCAGGGCAGCAGCCCTCCGGCCAAGCCATGAAGATCCCCCATGCCTTCCCTACCCAGGCTCAGGCAGTCTCCTTCCTGCCTTCTTTCTTTCCTTTGGGAAAACTTGGCAAATCCACAGGAATGTGGGAGCAGCGCTGTAGTGTGTGTGTGTGTGTGTGTGTGTGTGTGTGTGTGTGTGTGTGTGCGTCCTTCTCCCAGACTACACTGGGCTCTGGTCTCCTTTACTTTCTCCCTGTCTAGTTTTGGGAGGCCGATGGCCTTGTAAACCAGTGTAGGTCTCACAGTTACGTCCCGTCCCTCTGAGGTAAAGCCCCTCTGTCCTTGTGGTCAGAGCTGAAGCATCTGAGCCAGCCCGTTCCGTGCTCTGGATCTGCCTGATTGGCTGACGCAGTGGTGAAAGAAAAGGCAGCAGGTGCCTTTTCTTTCATTGTATCCTGAGACATAATTGGCCAGGCCTGCTCACTGATGGAGCCATTTTATTTGGTGGCTTGCTGAAGGATGCTGCTGTCAGCTCTTTATTTTGTAGAGATTCAAACATTCTCCTCCATGCCCACCACTTTTAAATTAGCAAATAATTCAAGGGCTGGCCCTGGGGAACCGTGGCACTAGCCCGAGCCGCAGCGATTTCTCACCCGGTGCTTCTACAGCCATTTGCCATCACTGCTGAAATCATGTATTTCCATTGGTGGTTACAAAATACTGAGTTCCTAATCCTAGCATTCGTTCTGCATCTCTTAGCTGGGTTCTTCTGCAGGAATAAAAATAATAATAATAGGGCTGGCCAACTGAAGCTAGGAGCCAGCAGCTTCTTCCAGGTCTCCCACATGGGGGCAGGGGCCCAAAGACCTGAGCCGTCCTCCTCTGCTTTCCCAAACCATAAGCAGGGAGCTGGATGGGAAGTAGAGCAGCTGGGACACAAACCGGTGCCCATATGGGATCCTGGTACTTGGAGTTGGGAGGATTAGCCTGCCATGCTGGTCCCTGAATAACAACTTCTCTTGCATATTAACACTTTTTTTATATATAAAATTAAGAACGTTTATGTATTTGTATGTATATATGCGTGTTTATATATTTAGATGTGTGTATATATGTAACCAAGCATGCCTGTATATAGATTTTTCTAGTGCTTGTGTGATTTCATGTTTCATGCGTGGCTGGAGTGTCTGTGGGCTGCCTGTGAGTGTCCGCGTGTGGGTTCCGTGCTCTAGCCTCTGGGGACAGGTGCCCCGGCCCGCACACCCACACTGAGCTTCCTCTCTGGGGCTGCATTCCTGCTCTTCTCGCCCAACTGTTTGTGCATATCTATTCTTCCGTATGCGTTTCAGCACCGACCTCAGAATCTTTCCATGGAAACAAATGTGGTATTTGTATAAGCTGCCTTACATTCACATAGGAAATCAAAGACGATCGGCATCTTTGTGATGCTAAGTGGTCTTCCAAGAAGACAGGACTTTTTTTTTTTTACAAGCTTATTTTTTGTAGATTTGAGGAGAATTTCCAACTTTTACTCTTATAGGGATCTCATTTCTTTGGTCCTTATTCAGTTTATCATCACTCTTAAATTTTTTTGAAAGGCAGACAGAGAGGTCTTCCATCCACTGGTTCACTCTCCAGCTGAAGCTGGTTTACTCCAAAGCCAGGAGCCAGGAGTTTCTTCAGGTCTCCCACGTGGGTACAGGGTCCCGAGGCTTTGGGCCATCTTCTACTGCTTTCCCAGGCCACAAGCAGTTACCTGGATGGGAAGTGGAGCAGCTGGGACACAAATCAGCACCTAGATAGGATAGCGGCGCTTACAAGGTGGAGGATTAACCAATTGAGCCATAACATCGGGCCCCTCTACAGGGCATTTCAAACAAAGAGTGCTGAATTTGGTCAGAAGTCTTTTCTGCATTAGCAGGCGTTAATGTATCCTGGTGTTGTCCTAGGTTAACCAGCGTACATAGGCACCCTTGCTATTTGTTTTGGTTTGTTTTTCTCCTCTTCCACGTGTCCTTGCCAATCTAGGTAATTTTTGCAAGATGTGGCAAAAGATGTAAACGTCGCAGCCGCCATATTCAGATGGTGTTCAGAACTCACTTTCCCTGAGACCAGCTGGCCTCAGCTTTTCTCGTGGACGCTTCTCTTGTCCCATCTCTCAGCTGTTGCTTCCTGTCTATCCTGGGGAGATGGCAGACAGCTGGGGCTCCTGGCTGACTGTACTCCAGGAATGGCAAGAACAATTCTACAGCCTCCATTGTGAGTTGACAAAGCACCCGATCGTACCCACACATGATGCTGCCATGTTGCTGTGGTATCCATGTGAACGAACATGGTCTCGTGTCCGCCACTGTTGGGGAGGCCCTGTGCTGAAAATGGCCACTCTTTCCCCAACTTCCGGTCTGCATGTAGGGGTCTGGTTTCGGCCTTTTCTTCTGGGTTTCCTCTTTTAAAAATGTGTCCATGCTGCTCCTTCCTCGTGTCAAAGCCCGGGCATGAAGCATGTTACAGTCTTTTCTCTGTAACATGCATGGTTGACTTACCCCCTCACACGTCATCTGTCTTGGTCCCTGTGCGGTTGCCCAATCTGTGCAAACTTTTCCAACTACAAAAAGGGACCCTTCTACCCTGCCCTCCTCCCTGTGTGCCCATCACCCTCAAGGACCAACTGCTTCCCTTTGTGTCATTCAAGTGGATGAAGATTTGGGGTTCAGTGGCTAGCAGGAAGCCCCAGGAAGCACCCTGCCTGACTGGGATCTGTCGGTGAATTTCTTTGTGTCGCTTAGTTGTGGGACACCAGCCCAAGTACCCGTAGCGATGTGTCAGTGCATGGTCGCCCTGTCTGTTAAGACTTCCAGGTGATTCTTTCCCTTTCCAGAAATGCACAAGTGATTGAGTTGTGAGCAAGCAACTGTCGGAAAGGATACTGCGATCTTGACACCTGCTCGTGGTCACCATCTTCAGATGTTGTGAATTCAAGCAGCCAAGGTTGGGAGTGGCCTGTTGTGTGGACTCCATACAGGGGCTGGGGTGCAAATAATGGATGAGAAGGAGAGGACTCTGCTGAAGGGAAGTGCTGCCCCGGTCTTCAGCAAACAGCTGTCGGGGAAGTGTGAGCACTTTAGCCAACACTAGAAAAACGTGGAGGGCAATTTCCTCTCAGCCTGACACCCCGCCCTCTAGGGCTGGAGCGGCTCATGCTGCTGCACCAGTACCCTGTCAATGTCGGCGGCATTGAATCCACCTGGCTGCTATCATGCCTGCATCCCACATTGCAGTCTCTGAGTTCAATTCCTGGCTCTGGATCCTGAGTCCCACTGCCTGCACACAGAGAGACCTGGGAGACAATGATGATGGCTTAAACAGTTAAGGTTTTGCCACCCAAGTGGGAGACCTGGATTGAGTTCCCGGCTCACAGCTTTGGCCTTGGCCAAGCCCCAGCTGTGTGGGCACTTGGGGAGTGAACTATGGGCTAGAAGTGCTTGCTTGCTCTTTCTCTCTTTCTTTCTCTCTCTCTCTCTCAAAAAGAGTGAAATAAAAGCAACCACCCACCTGATTGGCTTGGCACCACATTCCGTCAGCAATCACTCAGCATTTTCTAGAACTTCGCTTCACTTTCAGAGCTGCTGGAAGAATGCAACACCAAGGGCAGATACAGAGGCCAGTTTCCAGTGCCATCAACGAAAGCTGACTTTCTTAAAGAGAGGACCACGGAGAAGGCAGCAAGAGGAAGAGGCTGTGAGAGCCACAGGTCAGGTCTGCATCTCTGCAGGTCTTCAAGGGGGAACGGGGTGAGCAGCTGCAAGGCCTTGTAGAGAGCCGGGGAAATGCAAGCACTCGCTGTTATCTTGACACAATCATGCTGTGGTCATTATCACTGTGGGTATGCGCTTAACACAGGCAAGACATGACAGGCAAGGGGCTTGCAAGCTCACGCCATTCTGTGAATTGCTGCCCATCTAAGGTCCTGTGATCCAGCCCCCCCAAAACACTCCTCTGCCTTCTGTTTTGGGCCCTGCACTTTTGGGGGTGGGTACACCACGAAGCATGCAGATGTCAGGTGCAGCTTTGAATGGGTTCTCCCTCCTGGTGTGTGCTGAAAGTCGAGCTGTGTTTCAAAACGATGCGTTGCATTCTTGTAACCCCTCTGGATTTCCCACGGTGTCCTTTATCTGACTTGATAACAGCAGTGTTCATTAGCAGCTTTTGTTAACGGTAACGGAAGCGGGAGCACGATTCTCAGAAGCAATTTTCCCCACCTACGATGGAATAAACCTTCTTAGAAGGAATTTGTTAATTGATTTGCTTCTTGTAGCAGCGTTTTAATTAAGACATCCGATGTGTGAGCAGCAGACACACTTGGGCACCGAAGGTGAGAGCTCCTGGCATTGTTGTCCTGCAGGGGGTTCTCACGTAGCACGGAACCAGGACTCCTCTCCCTGACCCAATCCCCTTTGCACACGTGGTCTCTGGGCGGAGCCCCACACGAGGTGCTCTGTGCAAAGAGAAGTCCTCTGCAGGCCAGCCCCTTCTCCAGTCCTGAAGACTCATGCCACCCAGGAGGCCAGTTAGGCTGGGGGTCCTTGGAAGTGAGGTCCACCTGGCTTTCACCCCAGACATCAGCTCAGGGACTTCCTTCTGGAAACTGTGAAGCCCCTGTTGATAATCCCCTCCAAGAGGGCAGCTTCGGGGGAAGGTGGCTCCAACGCACAGAACTCTGGAAACAAGCACATAGCAAGTCGCTGGGCTGATGACGCAACTACAATGTCTTGGAGATCGTTGCAAAGTGGTTGCATCCATATGTGGTCTTGGAGAGTGCTAACAGAAGCCAGGGGCTGGTATAAAACCTGCCTATCCAGCCCAGTAAGGCCTTGGGATCCCCCAACGCCAATGCAATCCCAAGAATACAGAACCGCACGGCCAAGGGGAAGGAGACCAATGACTGTGACAGACCAGGCAGGGGAGCCAGCCCTCAGTGGAGCAAGCGGGCTCTAGATGGCAGCAGTGAGCCAGGGTCTAACTGTGTCCTTAATGCTCTGGGGCCTCCCAGAGGATGGACTGGAGGGTCAGCAGGTGAGATGGGAGAAAGTTATCTGGCCAAGTCAGTGTAGTAAAAATCACCTATAGGGATATCCGTGTACATACCTATAAGGTACAAATATGCTTACGTTGAATCTTAAGGCCTGCACATAAAAATCAAGGACAGGCATTTGGCCTGGTGGTTAAGATACCTGGTGAGATGTGGGCATCCCTTATTGGAGTTGCTGGCTTTGATACCCGGCTTCTGCTGATGCAGACCCCCAAAAAGCAATAAAGGGTGATTCAAGTCGTTGGGTTCCTGCTACCCAACTGGAAGGTTCATATTGCATGTCCAGCTCCTGGCTGTAAGCCTGGCCCATTCCTGGCTGTTACACATATTTGGAGGAGTGAACCAGTCGACAGAAGATATCTCTGGCTGTCTCTTAAAACCAATCAACAAAAATAGAAATGCTAGCTTCTCTACATAAAAATGAAATAAATGCATGGGTGTGTGAGTATACATTCCTGTAAGTGCGCTGAAAAGGCATCCTTTGTACAATTCCAGGAAATACACAGAGATGGAAGGAGTTCATGAAGGATATTCTTTCTTATCATCAGAGTCTGGCAAGAGTGGGGAGGTGGACAAAGGTTTAGAACAGAGCAGGTGCGATTTTGAAATAAAGCACAGGCTGTTGGTGGATGACGGCCAGGCTGGAGCATCGAACTCGATGAGCCCTGTGGAGGCCAGCCAGGATTCCC